CTCTCTCTCTCTTTCTCTGTAACCGATACTGTCGCCGAGCCGCGGTCGGCGGCTTTCGGTGGGCCTTAAGGACTGCGACTTCATCGTCCACGGCTATTAGCTCTCGCTGCTCTCTCGAGTAATTGGCCGTATTAAATTTAATAATCCGCCGGCCGGCCGTTCTAACGCCGCGTCGTCGAGCCCAACCGCGCTTCCTACTTCGCGCTCTCTGCGGTAATCGGTTAGGCCGGTCGCCGCGGTGAGTTCCGAGTAAGCGGGAATATTTCAACAGCGAGCGTGAAATCCTCGGAGCATACGCCGCGTGAGAGGGAGAAGAAGTCGACGAAGAGACGCTGAGAAGAACGAGGGAGTCTCGGGAGAAGTTCCGAAGGTGACGAAGGTTGTCTCGAATGTACGCTAGTATTGTTGACTGCCACAGTGATTTCCATGGATTGTTCTGAAGCTTGCAGAGTGGATTTTCAATGTATTCAAGAAGGTGCGGTCGAATTTGACTCTATGGTCTCTATTTCGTCCATTCTTCAAGTAATCCAATTTTCACGTAAACATTCAGGTAAAAGAAGTAAATAATAACATGAAACATTCTTTAAGAAGAATAACATGCGCGTGTAAGATGAACAAAGCTGTTAGGGTCACTCGATAATCCGACCCCATCTTACCATTAGAGAGTTAATTGAAGCTCGAATAACCAAAGTTAAAGCGAATCTGTACATCTTGCGGCGCAGATATTCATCGGCTGATTTTCTCAAAGCCTACTAGACTGCGATATTTAATTCTTTAAGTGCATAGTTACTCAATTACGCGTCTCACGCGTAAATCAAGAAATGAAACGCGTCGAAGTTACAGCGAAGTTACAGCGAAGATTAAGAGCGAACGTCGAGAATAAATTCGCGCTGATCTGCGCGTCGTTCGACGTCGCAAGCCGATGGTGACATTCGCAACGGCAATCCAATGCATAGAATATCACCCCACAGTTTGCGGATTTTTCACGCGCCGACTAAACTGCTATTTAAATATGACGCGAAGTGTCGTGACACCGGCGAGTGTGTATCATGGCACAGAAGAAAAAAAGAACGTCCGGTTGTCCCCGGCCAGGTTTAATCTCCCAAAAAGCCGCGGTGGTGTACGCAGGGCGACGGAGCAAGAGGGATTTGCGATTCATATCGAGGGCGTAATCGGTCGCCGTATCTGACGTTGATTAATGCAACAACGCGCGCTTGTACAGAATCGTTAAATCGCGCACATCGTCCTGCGTCGCTCCTGCAATAGCTCGCGCCTAATTGCGCGTGATTTCGCCATGGCAGCGCGCGCGCGTGGATACGCGCGGTTACAGCCGGCTTCGTAACGCGCCCGAAAATTATGCGCCGCACGTTGGACACGCTGCCGGCAGTCGAGAGGCGCGTTTACCCTCATGCCATCCGGTATTATTCCCCGTTGCTTCAGATTTTACGGAAGATTTCAACTCCAACACCGATCACTCCCGGAATTCTTTGACATTTTATAATTCTACTTAATGTTAACGCTTCAGCCGATTATTCGTAATCGCTTATAAATAGCCTTCAAGGGGCCATTCAACGTTACGTCACACCACGAAGGGGGAAGCTCTATTAATTTACGTGACGGCTTGTTATGGCAGGGAGGGAGTAAAGACTATGAAACGTCACATTAGCTGGTATGACTTGTAAATATAGATGCACGTGGTTGTCTATTTTGCTCGCATTCGTGACACATTTGGTTACATTTGATGAACATTTTTTTTTCAATTTTGACAGGATTTTGTGTCAATCAAAATATTAATTTCTAAATATTTATTTTCTAAAGAACACAATTTTTTTCTCACCAATCAAAATTATAAAATAAACTAATTAATTTGGTATTATGGCTAAAAATGATTTGTATTTTAGAAAAAAAAGTAGCGTACAGTCTATAATAATTATTACCCACAATGTGGCTTGTGACGAAACACAACGAAGGAGAGGGAAGAAGGTAAAAAAATATTCAAATTTCGCATGACGTGATTGTTGAATGGCAGTTTAAAACTCTGGTTTGCATTTTTGTATGGAAAGTATGATCACGTAACTTCTGCTTATCTCTTAACTCATGCTGGGTAACTTAAAATACACCAGCGTTTTATCCTACATTTATGCAGTCTCACCTATTGCATTTTACGCTTCCGGTTCCCATCCTATCTCTATAATTTTCTCCATTATAACCTTGATTTCCACGTTGATAATCTATATAACATTTGATCGAGTCATCAACTGGTCTTTCCTGACGTAATTCAAATTTCAATTAGTATTTGTCTATATTACGGTTAAATATTATAATCCTTCTTTTTAGTATTCCCGCTACATCTTTCCTTTATATTTCTGCTGCGTACAACTACATTCAGCTTAATCTTGATTAATCAGATCGTTATTCTCAAATAAGGATCAATTATTTTCAAATTCTCTTATAAACAGTTTTAATACTGCCTTGCTTTTTGGACATTATCGGTAAATTTTGTATCATAGTGTTGTACCTCTAAACTTTGTGTCATCCAATAAGTCTATTATTATTGTTATTATTATCAAGATTTTATTTTATTTTTGTCTGTGTTTTTTCTCGATGTACACCGATGAAACTCGAAATATTATAAATTCGCACGATAAATAAAGCAGCACGAATCGTCTTGCTGGTCTTGCATGGTGTGACAACCGCCGCGCATGTGGACGCAGACACGTCTGTGAGACAGATTTGCGATATGGCGACTTTTCCGATTCCGAATTATAAACCCGTTCGTCTCTCTCGTCGAGACGTATCGATCGATCTTTAATTCAGTTTCGGGAGCTGGCAGGATGCGATGAAATTTTCAACTCGCGAGCTCCGGATAACTGATTAAAACACGCGACCACCTTTGGTCGTTGTCGTCCTCATCATCGGTCGAGAGGATTCGATTTTACGAATTCGATCAGCGCGAACGGCATCGTCATCGCGTATTTGTTCGCGTTACGCCGATTAAAGCACCGAGAAGCGCTGGCTAATTAATTCCTGTTCCGAGGAGATAACGCCGAGTAGTATCTACCGCCTGGGAAAAGGCCCGTTTGCTTAATTAAACGGCCGTCGAGCGCAAAAATAAAGTTGTTTTGGCTGCGACGAGCGATTTTATCTTGCACGCACACGCGAGTGTTCCTCTCATGTTTTTCTAGTACGCGTGCCGTTATCGACATCGCTTTTATTTTAATCTGTAATGCCTCCGTCGGTTTAGCGATTTCGTTCGCTTTATAATGGTTCGCTGTATCTATTATCCTGCTGGTTACGTCTATCTCGTAAAATATCTTCTTCCTTGAGAAAATCGGAGCCGATAAGAATCTCAGTCTTGAATTACGTCTCTCTCACTGCGACGTACTATTTACCGTGTTACGTTACTAAACGCGCTTAGCGTAACGCAGATAACGATAACTACTATAATCTTACGTCACTCGTGCAACATAATCTGACAAATCCAGAATAATCTGAACGTCTCGGCGAGTCAACATCTCCAAAGTCGGCACGTGTGACGAGAAAATTATGCACCGCGCGCGGAGGATCCTTTTGACTTCCCTTCGTCTCCACCTCCCCCAACCCTTCGTAACGCATAAGGGGGTTAATAATATCAACGCGAGAGAGAGAGAGAGAGAGAGAGAGAGAGAGAGAGAGAGCCCTGTTCTACGAGCGACATTAGTTTCACGACGGAAGCGGATTACAGGAGCTCTCGCGCGGCCAAAGTCCGAGCGCGTGTATATCTCTGTGGAGCAGGGCGAGGTTGCGTTTAATTTGAGATTAATTTCCGAGATCGCGGCACGACGCGTTGCTTTAAAGGGAGCGTTCTCGTAGCGACGGAGGTTAACGAGGTAATTTAATGAAGGCCTAACCGCCGCGCGTTTTGCGTTATACGACGAGAGCCGCGAGATAAGTGGACGGTCTCGGCAGCCACTTTGATAAAGTGGGGTTGAGTACCCTAAAAATTCTCAGATATCAGAATCTACATATTTTTCCTTGTGATAAGTGAGGAAATAATTCCCCCTTTTCCCCGACTTTTTTCCCCACTTGATTTCGACAAAATAAAATATAAATATATCGCACCTTTCTATGCCTGTAAAATATTACTTTCCTGCATCAAATATCAGAATGTACATATTTTTCCTTATCAACGAGGAAACGCGTGATTCTCCCTTTCTCGATTTCATTCTCCAACTCTTCCTTCTCGATGAGAGCACTTGAGAATAAAAATACATCACTCCATCTTTATACCGGTAAAACATTACTTACGTGCATTAGATATCAGAATGCACATATTTTTCCTTATCGTCAACAAGAACATAATTCTCCTTTTCTCGGTTTCTTTTTCCAATTTGTCCCTCTCAATTCTGACGAGCGCATCTGAATAAAAATACATCACTTCGCCCTTATACCTGTAAAACATTATTTCCTTCTATCAGGTATCAGAATGTATATATTTTTCCTTATCATCGACGAAAAAATAATTCTCTTTCTCTCGATTATTTTTTCCTAATTTCTCCGTTCTAATTTAAAATGACTGCATCTAAATAAAAATATACCATTTCCCTCTATTCCTGTAAAAATGATTTATATATATATATCCGAGAGCTTGTTAAAATTAACTAATGCGGGGCTACCAGATAGTCCGAATGGTCAAGGCTCGCGAGACTATTAAGACGTGGTTGAATAACCCGGTTCCCGGGCGGGATCACGTGCAACGGGGACATAAACGATCTCGGGCCAGTCTCTCGTCGTTGCCCCATATTATTACATTAATTTCCCTCATTCTCCACAAACACTGAGCAGATCGGCGTTAAGATATCTTGTAGCTCCAAGCGTGCGCGCGCTCGCCCTCTTCCGTGCGTGCACGCAGCTGTATATTGTATGTACAACTATTAGTGCAGCTATAGCTGGGTACGTGCCGGATCACCGGCAAAGTCGAGTTTTACGGCTTTACGCTGTGACCACTGTGATCAACGCTGTCCTCTCTATCGCTTCCGGTTTGCCCGGCGCGGATTAAACTACGGTTTAGCGAGTGCGATGCAACACGCTCGTGTGCTCTTCATGAATATCTCCCGCTCCCCGGGACTCGTAAATTTTCATATTCATGACATTTCCATGTCGGCGAGCACGTCGACGAAATTTCACTTTACATCCGTAGTCGCCGAAAACTACGCGGCTAAAACAAGTTAATTCACGCGTTATGCACTTCGATGTGGTCGACGGATGCATCTGCACGATGTCCGATTCGATCGATCTCGAGGCTAGCAGGCGATGCGAGCTCCGAATTGCCGAAATGTCCAACGATCAAGGCAATCTTTCATCGTGATCGAATTTAACGGCTACGCTATAACGATCGATTTCGGCGGTCGTAATTTTTGACTGCGAAATATTTTCGCCGCTCCCGCGTAATCGCGAACTTTCCTCGCGCAAAAATTCCAGATAACGTTCTTTTATCGTAGGTAAACGCTCGATCTCGCGCTCTGTCGGCTTAACGCGATCGAGTTTCATACTGGGTGTTACGTTTAATTGACTTCGAGTTCTGCCTCTGCGAGTAGTGGGCTGAAAACGCGATATTTGCGGAATTCGGGCAATGTCTGGCGTGGGCCTTTATCGATCCGTCCTCGCAGGCTCGTAACGCGCCGATTTGGGCGCCCGGGAAAAAGCGGGAAACGCTCCCTCTCTGTCTCTCTTTCTGTCTCCTTCTTTCCCCCTCTTTCTCTCTCTCTCTCTCTCTCTCACCTTCGAAGCCGAAGGAAAAGGACCGTCCCCGCGAAATTCGCAGGAGGGTCGTTTGATTTATGGTGGAACTTCCTCGTTGCGCTCTCTTCAGCTGAATTTCGTGAAGCTGCTCGCCCTTTTCGATCCCCTTTCAGTCGCGCGTTCCTTTTTCCCCAACCGGCAGTACGGAGCCCTTTTCCTTCTCCCTTCGCAACACCCTCAACCCTTCGCGCGTTCGATCGCGCGTTCTCGGGGTGAGAAATTGCGGGCGAGCTCGCGTTTTGACGCGCGGTCGACTGGGCTGATCGATCTCCTCGGCCGCGCCTTTTAACTCTGAAAATTGCCTCTTTACGATCTTCGTCGCTAATGACGATACGTTCGTCATGAAATACGAATCATGATGTTAAACGCGGCCACCGTGACATCCCATTGCACTCCTATTACAAAAATCCTATTACAAAATGAACGTTTTTCTTACAAATCGTCGAGACAGTTTTCGTTCATTTTGGAATGCTTTGGCTTTTGCATCGTCAACGACTTTTTTCCATTTCGCAATGCAAAAGCGAGATCGGTGTTGGAGTAAAATTTATTCAGACATCCTCGAACCGACAGCGAGTCGCGTTTTTAAGTTTGCATTATTAACAATCTATCGCGCGGAATGTGTAAAATCGTTTTTCGAGCAAACTGCATTTCAGTAGCCTCCTGTTGAATAATCCACCTCTGCCGTATAATTAATGCTCGGCCGCTTGCGTGAACTGCGCTAGCGATAATTACGTTGGAAGAGAGATTACCGTACGCTTCGATTAGCGTGAAAGTGTTACTTGATAGAGCTTATAATTAAAACGAATTCTCCTTTTTGTTTCAGGTACGTATCTCATCAGTTCGGCAATGTCCGTGATGCAGCGAACCGCAATTGCGGGGATTGAATTCACCTGTACGAAGGTAATCGCTACATCGCGCGCGCACTCTAACAACGTTTCTTCTCCGTAATATCCAGACAGCGGTATCGGATTTATTTTAACTCGCACGGGAACATAATCCATATTCGTGCGATGTATCAAGTGTATATATTGAATATCCCAGAATTTGTCACCTTAATTTCATTGATCGATTCCCAATAAATTAGATTTCCCCGATGAAAATATATCGTGACGTGCGATATCCCTCGAGATTCATCGCGCGGCAAAATGGACTCCGAATTCGAATACGCGCAACGTACGTCATAAAAATTTTCGCCCGTGACAACATGCATGTAAGGCTATTATCACTAATACTAACACTTGGAAAAATGATTCGCCCGACTATTTTTGTGGTTAAAAGATATATTTGGCGCTGAAACTAACTATAATTTTCTGTCAGTGTGCAATCTGTGTTTTATAACGAATTTGACACAGTCTTGGGAATGTCGTACGAATCTACGACACGATTCTTTCGCCCACCTGACTCTTTCAATTAGCGCGCCCCTCTCTCTATCTTTCGTCTGGCGCGAATCGAATAAACTGTTTCCTCTATTTTCGCCGCTTCCGTTCGCGTTCGCGCCTCCAGAAATTGGTTCACGTCGATCCGGAATAGGTCGAGAGGAGCCCTCTGCGCATCGTGTGTTTCCTTATTGATTCGAGCGGTGTTGCGCCCCCGTACGAAAATAAATTCGTGCTAAATCGTCGCCGCGCGATATCGGAGCTGTGCCGCGCTTATTTCCGTTTCACAAAATCGATCCCGCTCGCGTCGGCTCGGTCGATTACCTCGTGTACTTTCTTCCCGCTATCGGACAGGAGGAAAGAGAAAGAGAGGGAGGGAGAAATAAGTATCGGGCACGTGTCGTGCCGTGTTGTACCGCGTTGTGTCATGTCGCACAGAGGGGAATGTCGTGTGTCGCGACTTTCGTGGAGATCCACATCGTCTCTCGACAACGCGAGAGACGTTCCATTACGCCTGAATTGCAACGACTTCTTCGACAGCTGTCACTTTATCGCCAACGCGCGACGTTCCATTTCAGGTGTCGGCCGTAATTGGCTGGGAAAACATTCTTGCGTATTTCCGTTCGGAGGGAGAGGCTCGCTCCGTAAAAGGAAAGTTTGTCTAAGTTTGAGGGCGTTCGGTGAATTTACATGATTTTCGTACTATCGCGGCGTCTCTTCGAGGTGTCTCCCGACGTTCCTGAAAAAGGTCGAATGGTGTCGATACTTCGGAGGAAATGTCCGCGATATATTCGCGGGATAATATCGAACGGCATATAAATACAACCATTTTATAAAGTATATACGTTTAAAGCGTTTGCGTATATTAAAAATGTGCATGTTAAACGCGAATTCACACAGACTTTCGTCGTGTTAACGTGAAACTGTTTTTTCTTTCTTCGTTTCTTTTTCTCTTTCTGCCGAGCGTTGCACAGAAAATTCGAGAAATGCCAGACAGCCATTCGGCGGCTTTATGTTTCGAGTAAAAAATTAATTGCCTCCTATTACGCGGGAATTAAACGGGTTTCCGACCGAATGCCTGACGAGATGCGGTCGCCGTTTTCCTCCCCCTTTTTCACCAACGGACGCCGGGAGCGTTTTCGCCGACTCGCCCCTTTCCACCCGCTCGGCAATATGCAGCGCGCCCGGTTGTAGCCGTAATTCGCCCACCGAGAAATAATTGTGCCCGCTGTTTCCCGTTTCGCATCCGCGAGTTTTATTTCCGCCACGCGAGTTACCCCTTTATAGGACTGTTTATACCGTGTCGATAGCCTTCTTTCGTGGAGTATCGAGTACTCCAGTTACGTCAACGTGGAATTGAGAGCGTAGAGAAGGATTATATGAGAGAGAGAGAGAGAGAGAGAGAAAGAGAGGCGGATAGATTTATAACGCGAAAATCAAACTTCACGTCAGCAAAATAACACGGTGTTAACGTAAAAGCGTCATCAGTGAAATGCTTGTCGATTTCACCGCTGCCTGAACGCAACGACTCGTCGCTCGATCAGTTTCACATATTAATTCATAATTCATACTATTCGATTCTCCGCCCGATTAACATTCTCGCTTAACTACTGTCATCGAGGTAATTAACAGCTATGAAAGGAGAGAGTGTATAACGAGAGGTAGATCGTTATTCTTCCTCGTTCTCCCTTTAAGTAAATTTCAAGCGGATTTTTATTACGTCATCGGCAATAACGAAACTCTTTTAAACATCGATACCGTTGCCGTTCCACTTTCATTAGAGTTTAATTAATGCCGGAGGCCTGCGTGGAGGAACGAAATGCCGCGAGTTTATCGCGACGGTAAATTTCAGAACGAGTATCATCGATCCTTTTCTCTTCTTCCCCCGCAGCCTTTGTGATCATCCCGGGATCCGTTGGAGCGAAGAGGGATGCGATTGTTCCACGTTATTTTTATACTCATGCGGATCTCGAGATTTGTCGGTGGTCGCGATTTGCAATGCAAAGCCGTCGCGCAGTCGAGGGAAATTGTTCTCTGGCGAATTCGCATATTTAATTAAGGAAAGCTCACGTCCCGCGGATTCGCCGATCTTGCTCTTTTCCTCTCTCTCTCTCTCTCTCTCACTCGTAAAGACGACCTCGGATTTACATTAAAGTCCCGCCGGAATATTTAACATGCCGTTCTTGCTCCGCGATTAGGTATTTACCGAACCTTGTCATTGGCCGATTATATTATTGATAATTGGGGAGCCCCCCTCTCTCTCTCTCTCTCTCCGCGAAGTGATCCAATTTCTTCCACTGTGAAGAAGTAAGAAGAGCGATAAAAATCGATCCAACAGTACGTGTCAATTGAAAAGACGCGAAACGCAGCGCGGCGAACGTGCGTGATGGCTTTCCTGTGAAATTTTCGTCATGGAACACATGCAGTCGCCACCATGATCGCACTTCGCGATGCTTATTACGAACTGCATATTGCGCACGTACCCCGCATTTGCCGGCGCGTACGTGCGTCGCGCTTCCTGCGGAGATGCCGTAAAAAAGTCGCGTCGCGACTTTAACCGTTCGCATTCACGTATCCTACGCGCGAAAGCGCGGTGAAACGAAGAGGAGGCAGAGACCAAGTGGAAGAGCCTGCTCTCTCGTGAGGAACACGAAAAATAAATAACGAGATTAATGTTCCGGGAGGAAGAAAAACAGAAATTTAGTATGCATTCTGCGGAAGGGAGTGTGATTTATGTGTCCGATTTTGCCGCTGTATTTGGAAAAATACTACAACGGCCATGTATTGGAAACGAGTCGATATATCAAGAAAGCCTTTCGGGTCCCCATATTTCATGCGGAAATTCGAAATTCACACACGTGTATCTCGCGAAGCAATCGCGCAAACGGTCGGCCAATTAGACTCGTACGTCACAGGCGTCGCGCCACCGGCCATTCACAATTAAAAACTCCCCGCTCATTTTCGCTCCCGTGCTCGATACCGGCGGGGTTAATATGGGAAACGCGTGTCTGCGAGCCACGGCGGCGCGCGCGCCAGACAACGCGCGAGACGTGTGCCCTGCGTTTTGGGAAAAGGCAGGCATTAGTATGCACCGACCGTTTCGGTTCGGTAACCGCGCGCGCGGCTTCGGGGGGCCTCGAATCCCAGGATTACGTGTGCGTTCGTGTGCTGCCGCTGACTGTACGTGGCGTTCGATAAAGTAGACGCGTTCGATACACGTGGCGGCACTCCTCGCCGAAACATGAAATGATTTCCCTTCGAGCAAACGTCGCCGTTTACATTTCGGTGGTATATAACCACGTGAAAGCTTGATGTAATTAACGTCAGCGATGTAATTCACGAATTATTTTTATGATTTCAATTTATTTCGGCAGATTGTTTACGGTTCTAAAGCCACCGAAGGGAGTCGTAATAGGAGGTAGGAACTCTCGACGTATGCGGGCAATTTATTATTATTTAATCAATTAAAAATTGCTAATTACACAAGAAGAATTATCTCCCAAGCTAAAAACTAACTTGTCCATGTAATACAACTGAAATTTAATTACCAGATCTTGTTTTTAGCTATGGGAGCTAATTCTTTTCTTTTTCCGTGTACGACTCTAGCCATGACTGTATACGTACTATAGTCATGAGAATTAGCTCTTACAGCTAAAAACTAGTCTGGTAACTAAATTTTAGTTATATTATACGGACAATTAGTGTTTAGCTGTGGGAGCTAATTTTTTTTTTTTTTCGTGTACTAATAATGGCGATAAGGCTTTTACTGGACATTTCTTTTTCTATTAAAATAAATCCCATCCATCTCTATCTCTCTCTCTCTCTTTCAATGAAAGTAACGTTTTAACCGTGACCAATTAAACATTCAGACCGAGAAAAAATCGCCGAAATCTTCGATGAATATTGTGCTGTCCATTGAACGCGTCTGTTAGCGAACACTCCGTGCGTCGGATTAGCACGGTCGGAAATAAAAAAGGTTACAACGGGCAGCCTGGGACGGTGCTCGCTCGTCCGAAACACACGCGAACTTTTTGGCAGTTTCATTGACATGTGCGACGTGTTGCGGCTGAAATGGTTTCCGCTTTGAACGTGGCGAACGCGAATGCAGTTATACGCACATACACGCGCGTAGGTTTTAACGAGAGATGCCGGCGAAATTATTTCGCTGATTATTCGATTATTCAGGCATTTCCGCGAGGTGGTAAACGCTCGTTTGATTAATTATTATGCCGACAGCCGTGCTTCTTCGAGCACGCGCACTTCTCACTTTCATTTCCCTCCAGAACGAAATGTGAAAATCCATTTATCCGATTCACGTTTAGTCTTCCTGTTATTCCGGATGACCGATATTTTCCTTGATCCTGCTGGTGAGGTCGAGGGAATCCGAGTCCAGCAGCGTCTGGAGATTTCGCTCCGAGCGCGGAAGTATCTCCCGTTCATTCTTTTCCCCGATGATAAAACGAGCGACGAAAGCCGCGGGATATCCTTTATCCCTGGCGGACGAGCGGCCATCATCTCGGCGCATAATTTAGTGTGCCGACGCGGGCGGATGTCGCACGACTCGGCTTAATTACCACACGAGAAGACGAGTTAACGGCGGTAATTAGGCGAGGCAATTAAAAGTTTTTCCTCGGGTTATCGCTCCAGGTGCTCGCCCATAAATCGCCTTCCCGCCGGGCGTTTCCGTCGAAGCCACCGCGAGCCCACTTTCGATCGGCACATGTGCTTTGCTCGACATAGTAACACACGCGCCAATTTTATCACCTCGCCTTTTCTTCTCTCCTTCCCTTCTCCCAAGCTCCGGTGAGATTCTCGTTTCGGTTTTCCGATCGTTATGACTATCCGTGATCGTCTGTTTCGTCGTCGTGGAGCAACGGTCCCGCCGTTAAGTCGAATAGGTCGTAGCTTACTGCGAGCGTCAGCCTTTGAGGTTGTTAAATTTTAAGATCGCCGTGCGTTATTCAGTCGGCCGAAAAAGTCGATCCCTTCGAAGCGCACCGTTGTCGTTTATCTCATGAAATTTCCAGCTGGCTCATTTCGTCAATAAAATCTCGTTTGCGCACGGAATTGATTTCGGAAATTATTCACCTCCCTTTTCCGCTCCTTTGCACTTGCATGCGGAGAGCGTGCCGGTTATCACTAACTCGAAAGCGTACTCGCGAGAGATACAAAATAAGCTCGATTGATATTCACATATAACTCAAAAGTAGCATTACAAACGCTGCTCTCGGGACATGAGAGATCTTGCGGGAATTCCGCTCGCGGTTCTCACCGGCGGAGGCCGCGTCGCGCCGGGTGTTCTCTTCCGAGTGCCTGTAAATTCTTCCTTAAAGGCGTGTGTTTAAAAATGCAGTCGTCATCGTTGTCGTGGACGTCAAGAGGGCAGTACTACTTATGAAAGTAACACTCCGCGATATCTAGGCCAAGCCGGAGTATTTTTGTTAGGGCTCATCTCCGCCGCTTACGAAGGAAATTCCTTAATTCCGCTAACTTTAATAACTCTTTAGCATTAAATGTTAAGTGAGTCTCGATTAAAATTCCGCACGCGTAAAGCCTGCCGCGGGATTAAACGGAGGAGTGAAATCTCCTGACGATGTCAGGGTCTGTTTTGACGTTAAATGTTAATTACGTTTCTTTAATACATTTTTGTACGCGCGCGGAAGTCGGGTCTACATCCATCGGGAAATGTCGTCGGGTAAGACAAGAGAAAGGAAAACACTTTGAATATCAATGCATTATATGTTAATATTTATTCTTTTTCTCTTCAGAAAAGATTACACGATTCATATGAATACAACGAATAATGTCTCGGAGAAAATACGCGCACACGAGGGAAAATTGTCGGCAACGTTTCGTCAATAATTTTTTTCTTCTTTTTTTAGTACTTTATGTGATGAGGTATCATGCAGGATCGCGTTGCCGATATCATTCCCCCCTGTGGCAATTCAGACGGATAGATTTCATTCTTAAGAGATATAGGGATATTAATAAGAGTGGAATATAACGTGAATACGATAACATGCGTATAGTCGAGGTATTTTCGCTCTACAGTGAATTACGCGGTTCATAGATGCGACGTACACGAGAAAACAGTGGCGACGACGTGATATATATATATATATATTTTTTTTATGTGATTTTTGTCAATGTGGTATATATATTTTTTTATTTTATATAGAGATAGAGTATAATGCGTGCGATATCACGTTACGATTGTTTTTCTCGTGTAAGTCTGAAGATGGTGGATAGTCCGTTTTATCAGCTCATCTAAGCAGCCTGTAGCAGACCGTTTAGAGAGAAGTGTACTACGTGTACGTATGTATATGCGTACGCTTTCAAGAGTGTAATATGCATAGTTCGCAAATAGACAATGCGAAGGCGCAAGAGTAGCGTTTCTTCTTCGAGTGAGTATTGTACACGGTTTACAAATACGACCTGGATATTTCTGGCTCGGTACCTAAAGCAACCTCTTCCTCCGTCGTGTTTCTCTACCGATGAATTCTACGTAATCACGTTGTGAGTGTCGCTTGTGCGAGACCGGTCGTGACTCGAAATCAACGTCGTCGCCGTCGTCGTCGTGAAATCGGGCTGGCTTGGAGTCTCGGTTTCGCCTGTTGTGTTGGTGTGTGTGGTCCGTACGTATCTAGGCCAAGTAGTAGGGCGCGCTGTATCCGGCAGCGTAATAGGGGTAGCTCGAATAGGCCGTGTACGCATAGGGGTAACTGTATGCGGAATATGTGAGCGGCGCGGTGTATGCACTGTAAGCGACCGCCGGTGCCGTGTAAGCCGCGCCGAATAGCAACCCTCGCTTGTTCCTGGCCGCTTCCGGTGAAGTAGGCTCGGCCTGAACCACCGGCTCGACGACCCCGGACTCCACCCCGGTAGGTTTGGCCTCCGCGAAGGCCGCGTTGGCCACCAAGGCGAACAGAGCGATAGCCTGAGAACGTAGAGGACATCAAAGCGTTATCAGTCGGAAATCGAGAGATCGAGTACTGAGTTCACTCAGAGTATTGATAGATTTATCTTGTCCTTAACTCTTTGCGATCTTAATCATTAGTGAAGCCAATGTAACAGCCAGCTTGCGTAATATATTTATTGATTTAACCTCTCTGCGGAATATTAGAAAAAATGAACGCAATTCTTAGGTTTTGCAAGATTTCGAAACGATTTTCTTGTATTTCATAATTATATGGTTTTCTAAAAGCAAGTAATTAGAAGATTTAATTAACGTCCTTTTAGCTCTGGCAATTGAGAACAGAGGTGCGAATAATACCAAGGGTTAGAAAGGTATTTCTTGTTAATAAATGACTGAATAAATAAATTTTTCGATCAATCGTGAGTACGTTAGATTTGTCTCGCGGATATCGCAAAGTATGGTTGATCTTGATTTACTCACGGCGATGCACTTCATATTGGCTGCGGTTGAGTAGTTGAAGGAAGCTTCGAGCTCGTAGATTCGAAGATCGTCGATTGATGCTCGGTTTCTCGAGGTGTCGCGCTTTTATACGCGGCCGATCGCGACGACATCGCCCGTACGTGCATTGACTTCGCGATTATCCGCCGTCTCGCGTAATCGTGCATGACAATTATCGTCCTCGTGACATTGCCTGTCGGCGGGGATAAAGGATGAGGGGGAAGGGCACGATTGGTAATGTCTTCGCGAGGCGAGCATCGAAGTTGAGCAACTCGTCCTTGGCCGCCGTCCAAAATGGAGTCGCAAGAATCTTTCGATACTCCGTCGTTTCAAGTCGATCGTTGCACTCGGGAATTACGAAGATAGCTCTTTAATGCCGAGCTGCTATCGTCGTCGTCATAAAAAACAACATATCGATACTCCGATACGGGACGAGATACGGAAGAGAAGCACTCGTTTACTTGAAGTTCAACAATATTTTCGCAATTTTCTCTCGATCGAAGAGTGCGCAAATCGTAAACGGGCATCGAGGGAAGGTGGGTAAGGCCAGCCATCATCGCGTTACCGAGTATAATTTACATTATGACAAGTTAACGAAGTATTGATATCCTGTTAATTAATGCGAAGTCAGGTGTGATCTTATGCGCTCGCGCGCGTGCGAGCGAGCGATCGAACGAACGATCGGATAGGCGGAACTATTGGTATTCCACGCGCTGGTCGCGCACCTCGCAGCAATTTTCACGACGCGGCGATTTAGCTATTCTGGCCTTGTACTCGATTGGACCCCGGTTCGCGGCCACGGAGCCCAAATGGTCCCCGGCGGTCGTGCGCCATTGAACGACCGAGTGCAGGCTCCCGCAGGGCCGAGCATCACTAATGGTGCCTGAAAATCCGCGAGCCATGGAACAGGGATCGCCGGCTTGGATCTCTCTCTCGTTCTCTCGGTGGTCCTATGATGCGTTAATTACGTTAAATGCGTCATCATTTATCAATGATAAAAGTTCTCCATGAACGACGCGTGCTTGACGTTTGATTTTATATTACGTTATAAGCCACGTTATAGAATGTGGCGCTACTATCTAGGCATTTCAGTCATCTATTGTCACTTTTTTCGACTAGTCATTGAAAAATTCACTATCGTCATCCAAAATGGATGATTATCGTTGCTTTATTCCTAAGCTGTCGTTAAATATGTAAAATATAAAACATAGAATAAAATATATTCTATATATATTTTTGTTGTCTCTCTTAATAAAATTGCTCCGAAAGCGTACCGTTCATGCCGTTCGCCTTTCCTTATTGTGAACTTTTAATTACGGATTGGATGCGGTAATAAAATCTTATTTCGTGTAAATATTGTCGAAAAAATGTCACTAATTTGAGTCTAAGAGGTCACTTTATCACCTTTTCTGCCAAGAAACAGTTACTATTTCACTTTTTCGTTCCGATGACTGGATGGCAGCGTCGAATAATAGAATAATATCGTTGGAAATAAGATTGCGGTGGTCGCGCGGTCGGTCCTTTATTAAATCTTCAGGCGAGACGATCTCGGAGTTTCTCGAGGAATTTATCGTTAGAATATATCCCGGTGGCGGTCGTGCGCGAGAATTCCGTAGAATTCCCGGCATGATTTACCGTCGGAAATTGTTTCGCACGACGACGTCGACGTTAAAGGGAGACGAAAGCACGCGCGCGTGTGCAATGCAGGCCGACGATCCGGCCGAGAGTAACGGTCCGTCGTTAATCATATTTTATTCAAGTCCACTTATCGCGCTGGAAACGCGGGGAGAAACACGGTGTTTCGCCCTTTTCAACGGCGAGGGCCAATTTTTCACGAGCGGCTCGCTTGTCGCCACCCGGTTGCATTGTATCTCGCGCGTGCGCACGCGAAAGAAAGAGAGAGGGACAGATGGACAATAGCGCGTGGCGGTGTCGCATCACCGAAATTGCACTTCGTCATTGTCGATAATTCGCTTTCAACCCCGGACGGCACTGGCGCTGTACACGTCGATAAATCGTGAGACCGTCCTTCGTGTTACGTCGAGCAACGCTTTAACACCAGCGACCGGAATTCGCAAAACTCCAAAAGCTGACGCTCGCTCGACGGATGAGTCGAAGAAAAATTCGGCATCTGCGAAGCTATGGTAAAGTCGCGTTCGGTACGCACGGCAGGATACGGCCGCGTCGCATTATCCGTCCGAAGTAGCAGCTATTTCCCGCGCTCCCTCGCTCGAGGACGAAAGCCGGAACAGGGGGAGATAAAGGAGAGATAGAGAGAGAACAGCGGCAGGCTCTCCAGCATTTGCCTCTGGCGAAGCCTCGGGAGCGCGCGGACTCTCGAGTAATATCGCGGCGTCGCTTGTCGGAGTGCTTGCGGCGGCTGCCAACGGCGCCGGAGTGTTTTTCATATAAACGCTGATTGCGAGCCGTACTTTTACCCGCGTCGCGCCCTTTCGTCGCGCCTTGCGACGAATGATCTTCGTCGTCCTCGAGTTCGCCACGGGACGCGCCGACGGGATAATCGCGATTTCATTTACATTTGCTGCGTCGGTCTTTATTCTCGTCGCCCGGCCGCTCCGGGCTCCTCTTCGGGTATAAAACCGCGGCGGGAAAACGAGGGGAAAGAAGCCGGATTCTTGCAGGGTGAGATATCCCGGTAGAAATACAATAAGCGGCCTTTAATCGCCTGGAGACTCCGGGCAGATTAATTTACTAATACCAACGGTGCAATATTCGGATTTCTCTTTCTCTTCCGTCGCGCGCACGCGATGAAAGCGGCTCAAGTTGATTACACGTGTGCCCGCGAACACGCGAGATAACGATCTCGCCCTCGAAGAGGAAGAGCCGTCGATTACCACCACCAGGGCCCTTTCACGTCCCGCAGGACTCTCGCGATTGGCTATTCGACGGACTCGCGCCATAAACCGAGGATAAAAAGGACTTTAAAACGGGCGTAAAGCTGCGCCATTTCGTCCCGGGGCGAGAGCGAACTCTCGTCGCCGCGTTTTTCCCGACGCAACGACGACGACGACGAAAGAAGGTTTCTGCATCCGGCAGGCGTCTCACTTTAAACCTCCCCGATGTACTTTGGAAGCTCGGAATGACGCTGCGTGCTGCATACGATTTTCTTGTCACGCATACCATTGAATCGGTTAGCTTAAAGGGAGACGAGTCCAAAACCTGTACGAATCGCGATAAAAAATACTCTTAAATATTCTTATCTTATTATTACATATTACAGTAATAATATTTTATTAGACACTGAAATTTACAAGTGACGACATTGGCACTTTTTTTAACGCGAAGCTTTCATTCTGCAGATTGAATTTTAATACTACTTTCGACGGTCTATTTTGACGCTAAAGCAGCGAAAACGGAAACTTAAGATATCAAAGTAAAGATTATATTATTAGAATTGAAATTGAACCTATTTTGCTATCTTAACTCCTATTATATTGTCGAATTAAAGGTTTAGCTGAAAGTTGAAATTTCGACTCGGGTAGTGCAAATATTTATCTTAATTAAGACGACTTTAATGAAAATACGGATAGAAGATCTCGGGATAATCTGCAGGATAATTTTTCCAATTAAATCCCGAAACGTAACGCACGCTTCCGGTTATTGATCTCGCCTCGTTCGCTTTCGACATAGAGCTCGGAAGAGACGCACGGATGACGATTAGATTCGTCCTCTTCTCCCCGCCGAATTCTCCTCCTCGCTTCGTAATTGACCGGACGATACCTGGCCCGTTTTCCCTCAGTCGTCGTTGGCTTTTTCGCCCGCGGTCGCACTTCTCCGCTTTAAATTCCAGCTGCGACTCGGTTCCATAAGTAGCTCCGGGCGGCCCCGGTGTCGTTGCGAGCTGCACACGTAACGTCGCATTACATGCGCCGTCTGCTGTCCGCGATGTCGCAGTCGTTACAACGCAGTCCGTGTTAAACTCGCACAATGCGCACTCATATACGTGTCTCGTGGGCGAGTTTATCGGGTATTTGACGCGACGGCGCTAGGAAAACATTAGGTGTGTTCTGATATCGCGTAAAAAAGGACAATATTGACGAAGACTAAATTCTCTGGAAAAGTAATCTTTTAATGTGCACACATTCGCTCTTTCGACTCGTTCTTTTCGAAATGCACGATGAATAATTCTCCGGGCGACACACCTCGTGCGCGCATTGTCGCCCGACATGAACGCAAAGTCACGCCATACGTGACGGCGAGAGGAATAGAGAAAGATAGAATCGGCAGGGTGGTGGTATTGTTTCGCAGTTCTTTAGAGACCCTCGGTATTATTGTCGCGGATTACTGCTGTATCACTCCTTTCCTCTCCTTTCTCCCTCTCTTTTTCTCTCATTGCATTTGTCTTGTTTTTACTTCTTTCGCCTTTCTTTCGTTCTCTCTTTCTCCTCTCTTCCCCCCCTCATGCCGGCTAGCAGACGACGCACGTCGATTCTCCGCGAGTGGCTGTTTCCCTTTGTCGTCGTTTTTGCAAAGTCGTTGCGCTCCGTTTTGTACTTCCAGTCGAGCGGCCGACCGGAAAATGTAAGAAGAACCTGAAAGGCTACCTATTCTCCGGTGCCTGTTACCTTAAACTGCCGCCAATATGCCTCAATTCCGTCGCGCGTGTCCCTTTTCGCGCGCGAAAAATACCGTTGTAACGCCTTTCTCGTGATAATCGAGCCACCAGCTCGCGAGATATCCGGTAACTCAGCCGAAATCAATGCGGTCTCGAATAAACACAGTTATAAATGATATAATTATAAATGTACAATGCAGTCATGAATAATGCATAATGATATAATTCTAGACGGATAAGATATATTACAGCCGGTTGATCCAGCCAATTTTATTCGTCACATAGTCCTTCCTCTCTGTTTAACGAATAAAACAGAACGATTATATAACCATTGCAAATTGAAATGCGTAACGAATCTCGTGCGGCCGTTTAATTGAAAATCCGCAAACGTTCACGAATCAGTCGTGATGACGGGAGGCGGTAAATAATCCACCGTAAGTCTGTGAGGATGATCAGGTTTGGTAGATCGATTTGACCGG